CAGGAGTCTGGGCAGGTCTAAAGGAGCTTTGTGGTTTGAGATGGACATAAAGGTTTATAGGCATATAAAAATCAGGCACATTGTATGATCTCGTATGGATCCTAGTTTTCATAAATGCACTATAAAGAACATATTTAGAGACAATTTGGGAAATTTTAGTATTTACTGCAAATTATATAGTATTGAGGATATAATTACACAATTTAATTCGGTTAACTGTGAGAGGTGATATTCTGGCCCTAAAAGTGCTTTTATTTCTAAAAGATGTGCACTGAATTTTAAAAAACGACTTTTTTTTTTCTTTCCCTGGAATTCTCAGCCTTTGAAAAGGAGGTGACAGAGTGACAAGTGACGTGGCTATGCTGCGGTCTGTCTCATTTTCGCTCCGGCTACTGGAAAGCAGGTGGTGTGACTGACACGCTGGGGACAGATTTGTGGGGAGAAAGATGAGCAAACTGAAATGTCTGTGGACACGCACACGCACGCACGCACGCATGCATGCACACACACATGCATACGCACCCCTCTCCTGAGCGGCCTCTGTGAGAAGTGAGCTCTACAAAGTCAGCAAGGCAGAGCCTGCATTACGTAAAGCCAGGCTTCTTGCACCACAGTTTGGAGCCCTCTTACCCACATCCTTCCACACTCACTGGAGATGTGGTGAGGCACTCTGAAACAGCGCGAAAGGCAGGCCCATCCTTGTTTGCACCCGTGTGTGCAAGGCCTCTCTCTTCAGGGACCCGCTTCAGAGGTAGCAGGAAGTACTATTACCAAAGGCCTCACACGTGGGTGGGAAGGCAGATGACGTCTCTAGGGGCTTTAGTTCCTCCACCTCAGAGCTATGCCTTTAACCTCTAATGAGCACCTCAGGAAGGAGCGCATATGAACTGGGGCCCCAGTTTTTTTGGACTGTGCAGCTTGGAACAAACCTTGAGATTCACAGAGAGCCAGTGGCCCTGGATGGTCTCAACACGAACCAAAAAAAACCCAACTGATTAGAACTAATCCAAAAAACTCGTCTCTGCTGCCTGTGGTCAAGCACACCTGAAATCCTAGCACTCTGAGGCCAAGGCAGGAAAGCTCAGAATTGGAAGCCAATTCAGGCTTTGCAAAGTGAGTTCCACTTTAGCCTATATTGAGAGACTCTGTCTCAGATGAAAACAACGAAAACAAAACCCCAGTCTGGCCTCAAGGCTCCCATGCTTGGGCGGCAGCTAACCTGAGTTCTGGCCGGGTCCTCTGCCTGGTCTTCAAGGTTTTTCTGGGAGGGTTGGATGTTTTAATGGTGGTGGGAAGAGAGCAGGAAATAGCTGAGTATTCCACCGTTGCTCTCGGAGCAGGCGGGGATGCCCCTCCACCAGTTAGCAGCAGCCTGTGGATTAGGAGTGGCAGAAAGGATGTCTTTAAATAGATTGCCTTTTTTGTTTGTTTGGTTTGAGGCTTGGTGATGGAGGTCACTCTGGGAGAAGCTTGGGACGTGGGAGAAGGCTCTGGGTAGAGGCTTTGGGCTTAGATTTCACCACCATCGCCCTTCCACTTTAGTGAGGTGGGCAGGGTGGAGTACACAAACGAGAAATGGAAGGAATCAGCGCAGTCAAGTCAGCACGTGCAATCCTGGGAAAAGGCACTTCGGGGGCGGAGAGTGTAGCTCAGTGGTCATAAGGCTCCAGGTGCCGTGTCAGCCTCCACAAACAGACACGGGACCCACAGCTATGGCTCCGGAGAATTCAGTTCAGCTGGCACGACTGGGCTCCTTGGTGCTCACGGCTGGGAAGCATGGGCCTCCTGAATAAAGCCTGCAAGGGATAAATAAATTTATTCAGGGTCCTAACTAGGTTAAGTCCTTCATCAGACACTTAACTTGCAGGGTTTGTGGGTGGTGGGGGGGGGCATAAACACAGTGTTCTACCAAGCCTAGCCTTGATCCTCCTGTCTGTCTCCAGTGTGCACCTCAAGCCAGAGAGCCTTAGTATTTAAACAAATTCCTTGGTTTCCCTGGGGTGACTAACAAAGAGCTGAACTCACCAGGGCTGGGTGCTGACTTGAATAACTGCTTACTGAGTGAGCAGATCCGAGGTTTGGGAGAAAATTGAATGAACCTAACTCAGGTGTACAACTGTGGGGAAAAAAGTGTGTGTGTGTGTGTGTGTGTGTGTAGTGTATATGTAGGGCATATATATATTACAAATACAAACTTACATTAATTTGTTTATAATTTTGTTTTTAAAATGACTTAAGGGAAAAATGAGAAAAAAAATGATGTGGTGTACAGTTTCTTGGACCTAAACATTTTGGAGTACCCTTTGCTACTTTTCAGCAATGTGACCTTGTGCACCTGGGGAGCCCTCCTTGAGCACAGAGGAGGAACCCTGCCTAGGACTCCTTCAGGACACCGCAAGCAGCAGAAGGAAGGAGGGTGGGAAAGGGTGGAGTGCATAGTTTAGCCTCTGAACTTTACATCACTGTTTACTGGCTCATTCGTCCGTACCTCATCACTTAAGTGTCCATAAAGACGGTATCTCCGGTAGTGATATACATTACAGAGTGATGTCACCTGCTCCACTGTGAGCAGGAGTTATCTCATTGTTTTAAAGCTCTTTATTTGAGCCCTGGTCCGTCCCAGTTTTGCTGACAGGCATGTGGTCAAGTGCTGCCATCTAGTGGCCAAAATACATATAACTAATCCTGGAAAAGATTAAGGGCCCAGGCATGTCCAGCCTGGAAATGCAGTCATCTCCAAAATTCATGCTGGAGAATGCCCAATCGAGTTATAAAGCCAAACACACACACACACACACACACACACACACACACACACACACACACACACACTTTCCCCCCCAAGACAAGGTTTCTCTTTGCTGTCCTGGAACTCACTCTGTAGACTAGACTGGCCTCAAACTCTCCGGAGTGCTGGGTTTAAAGGTGTGTGCCACCACTACCCGGCAAATATAATGTTTTAAAAAGAAAGATAGGAGACTGTGGCCCCCATAATCCCAAAGGAAGTGGTACTATTAGGAGGTGCAGCCTTGTTGGAGGAAGTGCGTTACTGTGGGGATGGACTTTGAGCTCCTATGCTTAAACCACTCCCACTGCCACACCCACTTCCTGTTGTCTTCTGATTAAGATGTAGCCAGCACCAAGTCTGTAAGGAGCTGTCATGCTCCCTGCCTTGATGCTAATGGGCTGAACCTCTGAACTGAAAACTGCCACCTCGATTCAACATTTTCCTTTATAAGAGTTGCTATGGGACTAGAGAGATGGCTCAGCAGTTAAGAACACTAGCTGTTCTTCCAGAGGTCCTGAGTTCAATTCCCAGCAACCACATGGTGGCTCACAGCCATCAGTAATGAGATCTGATGCCCTCTTCTGGCCTGCAGGCAGAACACTGCACACATAATAAATAAATAAATTCTTTTTTTTTAAATATTTATTTATTTATTTATTTATTTATTATGTATACAATATTCTGTTCGCGTATATGCCTGAAGGCCAGAAGAGGGCACCAGACCTCATTACAGATGGTTGTGAGCCACCATGTGGTTGCTGGGAATTGAACTCAGGACCTTTGGAAGAGCAGGCAATGCTCTTAACCGCTGAGCCATCTCTCCAGCCCCAATAAATAAATTCTTTAAAGAAAAAGAGTTACTATGGTCATGGCATCTCTTCACAGCAATAGAAACCTTAACTGAGACAGAAGTTGGTACCAGAGACTGGCGTATTGCTGTGATAGGCCTGACCGTGGTTTTGTTTGGAGGAATCTGAACTTTGATACTGTGGGTTAAACAGAGACACACTAACTATTCCTGAGAGGTTTTTTGATTTTTCTTCGGACTTCTTTTTTTCAGACAGGGTCTCACTATGTAGCCCTGGATGATCTAGAATTCACTGTGTAGACCAGGTTGGCTTTGAACTCACAGAGATCTGCCTGTCTCTGGCTTCCTAAGTGCTGGATTTAAAGGTGTGAGCCATCATGCCTAAGAAAGCAATTCGGTTCTTATGTTTAAAATATGAAAACTTGGGTCTAAGAGATGACTCAGAGGGTAAAGACAGCTGCTGCCAAGCCTGATTGATGACTTTGAGTTCCATACCTGGGGTCCTTACTGTGGAAGGAGATAACTGATCCCCCCCCCCCACGTTGTCCTCTGGTCTCCAGTTGTATGCTGTGGCATGTGTGCACATGTGTGTGCACACACAAAAGAAATTGATAGAAATGTAATAAAACACTTTAAAAAGGAAGCCCACTTGAGAATCAGCTGTTTCCATTGTGGCTGTGCCAGGGATTGACTGGGAACAAGAAGACAAACCAAATCTGCTTTTGCCAGGTAAGCTAAGAGCCATTGAGGATTTACACGCCAGACGCTATGCCAAAGTCCGCGTGAGCCCCATAACAACTGTGCAATGCAGGCCCATGATTCAGAGAGGAAACTGAGCCTGGGGGATCACTTGCCCACGCTCACAGCCCTGGACAGCACAAACTGGACTCAGTGGGCTGCTGACAGAAAAATGAAGGAGTGGTGGGTGGGGTGGCTCTGGGAGGAGTTATGGGGAAGTAGGGTGTGCATGGGACTGAAACATGTTATGTGGAATTCTCAAAAATATTAATAAAAATACATTTAAAATTTTGTTTTCTTAATTTTTTTTTTGAGACAGGGTTTCTCTGTATAACAGTCCTGGCTGTCCTGGAACTCGCCTTGTAGACCAGGCTGGCCCTAGACTCACTGAGATCTGCCTGCCTCTGCCTCCCAAGTGCTGGGTTAAAGGAGTGCACCACCACCACCACCCTTAATCTTTCTTTAACCACAACACTGACTCCCATTCTTGGCCGTGCTGCCCTCTTACCCCCACCCCACAAAGAACATCCACGGGCTGCTTCCTCAGGGCTGCAGGCCGAATAAAACCAAAGAATGCAAGAAGTGTTTCCATGTAAAGTGCTGGGAAACCCAACATTTTATTCACTACATCTCGGCAACTACACAAATGCGGAAACATCGGAACACTGGGAGCGTGATGACATCACCACTTGCTTTTTTTTTTTCTTTTTCTTTTTCTTTTTCTTTAGCAAACACAGCAGATGATATTGCACGGCATAAAGAGAGAACAGTATTGAAGCTCAAAAAAATTTAAAAAAAAAGGAAAGGAAAGAAAGAAACCTTAATGCAGTACAAACCAGAAGAATGCCTAACACACGACGCATTTTGTCGCTACGCACGAAAAATACAGAAGAAGCGTCAACAGAGAGAAAGACAAAGTCTCAGCAAATGACTGTGACCGGGTACAATAATCGTTTCATCTGACGCGTTGATGCAGTGTAGAAACTACCACCGTTTTCTAATTGACAGAGAAAAGGACAGTAACATTTGTCTTCTATCAAAAATCTCCTAAGCCCCTCGTGGTTAGGTGTGTAGTTAAATAATCGTGTATTTAGCTTTTCAGTTTTTTTTTTTTATTCATTGCTAAGGAAGAACTCCCCCTGCCCTTGGAAGACTTTCTACTCTACTGATCTTCTATTTAATTTTTACCTGATGATTGTCTTAGGCACCCTCCTTATATAATAAACCATCAAGCTAACTTGAACAGGGAAACTGAGTCACACTCCTCTTCCAATAGCTGAGGTCAAACGTGTGCTGAAAATAGAAAAAGGGGAAGGGACAGGTCTCGGTGAGTGACAGATGGGCTGGTTCTTGGGGGGGGAGACAGCAACTGAGGGGGGGCAAGGCATGAAACAGCTAGCAAAACAAGTGGAAGGCAGTGGTTTCAAGTTTATTCTTCTTATTAATTGTCAGTTGGTTCAGACGGCAATTCAAAAATGAGCCCAAAATGATTATGAAATAAATGCAGAACATCCTAGAAAAATAATCAACGCTAACATAGAAATAGAAGTGTGACCTTATAGAGATAATGCTGCTTTGAAGTTCACTGCCAACCTTTCAAAACCTTCTGTCAGCATCGTGACCCCCCGGGGCACTGACGCCTGGGCTGAGAGTGGACTTATTACCGATTCACATACACAATCAGTATAAAAAAGTTCCTCTTGACCAGAAACCTGGACCCTCCCCTCTCCTTCCCTACCCCAAACACACCTGCGAAAGAAAAGAAGGCCAAATGTCTGCGTTGAGGGGGATGTTGGGGACACCAATGCGTCTAAGCAACCTACCACATCAGGAAAGCGGACTGACAGAGCCATGGCGCCTGTGAGGGCCGCCCTGGTCCTCGAGGGTTCTGTATGTGCTGATCAAGGACCAGACCCGCCTTGGCTAAGGAGCCTGGCCAAGGCTCATGTCTAGGAGATGGAAAGTGAGAAAACATAAAAAAAAAAGTCTTCCCCCAGGATCCCTAGAGTCCTTCCCTAGAGTATCTGGGTAGGGTACACATAAGAAGGCAAGGATGGGGCAGCTGTGGGGAGCAGGGGTGTGGCGCTCTTACTGTATTTCCTAAATCAGGGTGGTCATTAAGCCAAGTGAGCTTGTTTTGCTTCTTGCAGGGGCTGCTGGGAAATTAGTGGCCCCCAGTCCCGTCTTTTTTCTTAAAGACAGCTTGGTGGGAAGGTTGTCTTGGTGGAGAGGCTGTCACCCAGAAAGGCAGAAACAATAGCATTGAGAGAGTTTCCAGATTCAAGTTAGCTTGTCTCTTTCGGTTTTTATACTTTGACTTCTTATTCCCATGCCTGGATAGCTAAAAACGAACAGAAGCAGGGTGGAGCAAAGAATCCCACAGATGCAGATACTGTGAGACTTCGGGGAAGGTCTTAAGCTCTTTGAAGTTTCAGGTCTTACCTGCAAAATAATTTTTTTCTTCTGAAAAATAATAATAAATTAAAGAGAAACCGCAGGTAATGCCTTCCATCGTTCTACCTTGGTACACTCATTTGGCATGTACACGTTCTCGAGGGGGAGCTGGCAGTATTGAGAGCACACGCGGTGTGCTCGACAGGAACAAACTAAAGCGAACACTCCGAAGGCAAGAGAGGCTTTCTCCAGCTTAGCATCAAGAACAAAAGAGATTGTAACATAAAGTTTTGGCCATTTCATTGTACTATATACACCGTAAAAACTACAAGTCATAAATTAACGAAGTGATTAAATAAGTTCATATAAAATGTAATTAAATTAAAACAAATCACAGCACATTATAGAGAAAAATAGGAACCAGTTTCACAAAAAGATTATATATATATATATAATTTTTTTTTTACCCTGTGGAAACAAATTTTCTACAAAACACAAACTTTCATAAGTAATGATCAAAATGAAAATCATTTCTTATTCCATTCTTGCATTTTTACACAACCCTTAACTTTTAACCCACTTGGGGAACATTCCCAAAAATTAACTCTTCCTTGAGCAACTGAGAAGTCCAGCCAAGAAAACAAACCCCAAACCAAAGTGGGAGGGGAGAGGGAACACCCAAACACACAGCTACAAAATAAATAAGAATTATAAAGGTTTTTTTTTCTTTAAAGTAACCTTAACAATTAACAAACTAGTAAGTTCTGCCTTATCACATAGACTCTCTATACAACATAACCCTAACGTTTTATTACTATGAGGTATTTGAAGGAATTGGTAAAAGTGACGCACGGCCTGCCTGGGGAAGGGACTCCGGGAAGGGGTGGGGAGGGCTTCAGGGAGAAGTAAGGAGGAGCTTTGGTTTATCAGCAAGAATTGGGGGTGGGGGAAGTCATCCTTTGGTATCAAAGAAAGTTTCATTGCATGGTTGCGCAGAAAAAGCACCACGGTGAATAATTATTCTTTTTTTTTTTTTTCATTAGTGGCCTTTCTAAGAGGCTGAGGTATTCAAAGAGTATAAGGTGAGAGAGGTTAACAGCGGTTTAACACTTTGGTTCAAGCAAGGCACTCGTCCTAGGAGTTTACAAACTTTGCAACGTGTTTGCCTAGAGATTTCCAGAAGTAGCAGGAATAAGAGCAGGCGTTCCTAATGTCGGTGTTCTTGGTCTCGTGTTGTTAGTAAGAATGAAGACAACTTTACACACTGAGTGAAGAGGGAGAAGGCGGGGGAAGGGGCGGGGCGGAGTTCCCTCTGCAGACCATGGCCGTGCATGAAAATATCTTTGGTATTCTTTGGTATATCAATGTGATTAAAATCACCAATGGAAATTGAGTGAGGTAGCGTCTTTGGTTCACACTATAAATAGTAGATCTTTACACTTTTTTTCTTTTTCTTTCTTTTTTTCTTTTTTTTCATTTTTTTTAAATCTTTTTTTTTTTTTTTTTTTTTAAACACATGGAAGTAGCTATTTCTTACCTTCTGCTTCTTTGTCCACACTATTTGGGGAGTAGTTACCCAATGCACTGTAGAGCAAACCCACACCACAGTAATAACCCAGAAGGCCAAGTGCATCCCCCAAACGGCCTCTGGTATTTGAATGCACCCTAAACAACTAGATAGAAAAGGGAGCCGTGCTTTCTCTTTGTTTGCTAAATGCATAGTTTCATCCTGTCTGTACAAAGGAGGGAGGACGGACCGGACCGTAAGGAAAGTGTCCTTAGACTCTTTGGTATAGCAAAGTTACAGTTAACCTGCCAAGACGGTTCTTCACCTGGGGGAGCAATGGGAGAGGGCTGAGTCCAAATGTAGCCATTGCTTTCATGTTGTTCTGGGAAAATAATTACGTGTTTCTGGGGGACCGAGGAGCGTGACGAGTGGCAAGTTAGTTCTGTTAGAACCTGTGGATCTCCCCATACATTTTCTTTGGTCTTTGGAATGCTCAGAGACAGGAGTACTCAGCCCGGGGCATCCAGAATTCCTCTACCTGGACAGTTACTGAGATCCAAGTTTTATAAAGTCTCCAGACTCCAAACATTCCTGCTGGCTTTCAGCAAAAGCTTCCTGTTATTTGAGGACCTGAATGACATATGGCCAAAAACACAAAACAAAACAAAACAAAACAAAAAAAAAAAAACAAAGAAAGAAAGGAAAGAGAGGAAGAAAGTAGGAAGGTGTTTGAAGTTGAAGTCTGGTTCTGTTTGCATGGTGGGTAGTGATGAGGGACAAGCTCTTGAGGGGACGGTGTGAAAGGACTGAGAGATGACAAGATCTGCTCTGGAGAACATGAGCAGAGCCATAAAACAGGAATGGAAACATGACCTCTGAACGCTGATTCTGAAGCAAAGGAAGAGCTGTTCCTACAGGGTGTGGGAAGGTATTGCTTAGGAAAGCTGAGTGTATCTGCTACGGTTTCTAAGAAGCAAAAGTTTGGAGTATGCTCGGTCAAGTAAGAAAATTGCTCTTCAGGCTCTGACTTGTGCCCTTGTTTACGAGAAAATATATCTCTAGGCCCTGAAATTGTGTAATTGGTGCAAATTTAATGCTGGTATGAAGTCATCTTTGGTGTCAGCAAGTAGGGTAACTGGTTATTTCTCAGATAACCATCATGGTGGGATTTTTAAAACGTAGTCATATTTTTTTTTTTTGAAGACTGTGCCTCCACAGTACCAAAATGATTGGCTTGAAAAAATTGAAACATGCAGTTGGGTTAATCATGGAAGTAACACGGTAAAAGCCAAGCTAAGTCTCAGGTTGAGTGAATCTTTTTTTTCTTTTCTATTTTTTTTTCTTGGAGTATTTAAAGTTGGTAAGACTGCGTAGACACAATTAGGTTTCCCCTGAATTTTTAATACCCTTGTTTTAAGTAAATAAGGCTATGCCCCCTCTTAAATTATAAATGTACTCCCCAGCTCACTCCACTATGAAGAGAGAAAACAATATTTCTATTTTTAGCTTTTGTTTATGCTACTGAAAACTTTGGCAAATCTCGAAGGGTGGCAATTTACTGGTTATTCATGATTGAACTAGAATTGTGCCATATTTAGAAGAAAAACTTTCAAGTTGCAATCTTGGGTGAACTTTTAAAAAACACTACGACAAAACAGCAAGGCGCCTGCTGATTTCCTTTGCACAATCGCCAGCGAACGGAAAGGAGACCGATGGTTCGCTGGTTGGCTTAGGCGCCTCTCTCTGGGGGCCGACCCTTGGCCCCCAGGAGTGAGATTTTGTGTTATATAATTTTTACATTTTAAAATTCGTTTGGCATTTTAGTGAATTTCAATGGACAGCTTACTATTAGCATAGCTTTCGGTGTTACGTATCTAACTGGGTGTGATATTAACTGAGGGTACCCCATTCCTGACTTCCCTGTGCAGCGACTGTCTGCTCACATCAGTTGTAGTTTGGCCGAGTTCAGACAGAGTGTTTCTGAGTGGCAAATGATTTCTAGAACGTTGTGTTTGCTTCCTGCCTTGGTCTGTGCAGCCCCAGTTAAATGATTTGGAAAAAGTCAAAATTTAAAACTTTGATTAGAAAGCTTAGGTTTTAATTGAGGTCCCTGCCAGAGAGGAGAAGCCATGAGATAAAATTCCAGGGTTTTTATAGCGAAAAGGAATGTAAATGCTTTGGATGCTATGCTTAGTAAAATGCATCTGTTAATTCTGAAAGAACCAAGTCTTGTGTGAGGCTGGCGCTCTGGCTTTTTCTATGCAGGCCTCCTCTGCTCCCGCTTCTCAGAGGCACCTGTTGTTTTCCTGACGTCTGCCTGATACTGCATCTGAAACCGACAATCAAGTTAGTCCAATTGCTTCTTTAGGATGGCTACACAATACAGGATAACTAATTGTTATTAATATTGATCTGCTGTCTTCATTAGTGTTTAGGAAGAATTTAAAAATAAGCATTTGGTGCTAAGTACATAAAGCAATTTAAACAAAATTAGTCTAGGTTTTTTTTTTTTTAAGGAGGGCTTTTCTAAAAATGATCACTTTAGACAATTTTTAAAATTTAGTTATCTTCCTGTTAAGCTTAGTTTCTTAGTGTTTCTACGGGAACCTACTCTGAAAGGGTCCTCACATCGTCTTGGCTATGAGTAGATTATGCATTTTGTCTTCTCTCTATGTCGGTGACATTTCCAGATCCCATGTGCACCGCGCCGCTCTCTCTGCCCTGGTGGTAACTGCTTCCCTGAAGCTACATTCTTCCTTGCCAGTCTGAAAACTCACATCTCAAATGCTTCAAGAGTCATACATAATAGTCCTGAATCTACGTGACATGTGGATTACAGCTAGGTCAGTTCATACGTATAACTTTACATAGTATCTTGTGTAAAAATAGCTTTGGTTATTAAAATCATTGCAATAAAATACCTGCACTATAATATTGTGTGTTCTTTGGTACCTGGGTGATATTTTTTTTTTAATGGATGGACTCTTGTTTCATTTTTTTTTAAAAAATATCTGAACATTTCTTAACAAACAAAGAGAGTGCACTGGTTTAGGCGCCATTCAAATTTTCTTTGCTGGGTTTGAATCCGCATTTAGGTTGTGGGCCTGGCAGGTTCAAACACTAGGCTAGATGAGAGAAATCACACCTTCCATCCAATGAATCTAGAAATCCCACACTGTGTTGGTCACACTCCTCTGGTGCAACCCTTCCTGAAGACCAGCCCTGCCTGAGTCCCTAACCACTGGTGGTGGCGGATGGGTGTGCGGATCTCCGCACACCCACCAACACAAGATATTGAGACACTATACACCTTCGTGGCGTGGTGGGAGAGATGAGAATGTCTGATCTTAAAAGACGACCGCTCGACGGCTCAGACATTACTGTGCTTCGAGCCATGGAGCAGCCACGCACAGTGAGGTGCTCGGGTTGAAGGCGTGAGATCCGATGTTTTTCGATCATCGTTTTTCTTGCCAAGTCTTGCCCCGCTGAAGTATGTCTCTCGGAACAAAGTCAGAATGCAGGTGAGCTTCAGTCTTTGGTTTCTTTGGACTATAAATACCACTTTTATTTCTTCAAATATTTCTAAGTATAAACCTGCTATCTTGAGGTCCTGGTCTTTAAAAACTTTTTTTTTTAATTAAATTTAAAGCTTTTCCACCGAGGTTCGAGTCCGTGGTTCTTCCTTCATGCTTTGGTACAAGTGCTTGATGACGACGATGAGTTGCCTGAGCTGGAGCTGCCCTCGTCCTGCCACTTGTCCAGACTCCTCCTCCTCGCATTCATGAAGAAGTTGCTGACAGTGCTCAGCTCCAACCCCAGCTGCTGGGAGATGGTGATTTGTAATTCTTTGGACGGACGCTTATTTTCCTTGAATATTGCATGTAGAGTTCGACGTTGAACGTCTGTGAAGACCAGCCTGGGCTTTTTGGGGGTGTTGCCTCTATCCTTGCCGTGTTCTTGCTCTTTCCTTTTGCAAGCTGCAAAGAAAGATGGAAGATGTTTAGAACGAAGTCCCTGGGGAGGGGGGGAGGCTTGGCCAGCCTTTCCTCGTAACCTGCTTTTTGGTCTGCTGAGCCCTGACTAAAGTACCAAGGACGGCTGGGAAGAAGTGTAATAGAAGTACGGAGAGCTGAAGTATAGCTGGAATTTTGTACACTGTGGGTGGGTCCCGGCATCGGTCAGTTTCTGCACTCTGTCTTTGGTAGGCCAGGTAGTTCCACCAGGCCTCTGGCTAAGTGAACTGGTAGGTTTGAGTTTTTCTTCTAAAAGGACATTTAATTCTTTAAAAATTATATGTGTGTCTGTGTCTGGGTATGTACACATGAGTACAGGTGCCAATGGAGGCAAGGCGAGGGCATCAGATCCCCTGGAGCTGGAGTGGTCAATCCACTTGACACAGGTTCTGGGAACCGAACTTGGGTTCTTTGGAAGACCAGCCAATGTTCTCGACCACTTAGCTGTTTCTTTAGCTCCTAATTTGAATATCAGGGTTTTTTTTATTTTTAAAATTATATTTATTTATTTGTGTGTGTGTGTGTGTGTGTGTGTGTGTGTGTGTAACTCCACCACACTCGGCTAAGCTCACCCTTCCCCCACAGTCGTAATTCTCTACGGGGCTCTCCATCTCCTCCCAGTGTGTAAATCTCTGAAACACCAAGGCTGTCTCCCACAAACCCTGAGCAGAGACAGAAGCCAGGTGACAATATCTGTAGGGAAGACCTAAAGTTAGGCAGTGGCAACTGAGGCGTGGGACGCACTTCTCAAGAGGTGGAATTCAGAGGACATCCTGACAACCTGGCCGGGGTGGGGGTGGGGGTGGGGGTGGGGTGGGGCGGGTGGCAGGGGAGTGGTGAGCTAAGGAGGAAAAGTTTAAAATAGTCCGGGTTTCTGGTTAGATGGTGGGGCACATAAAACGGAGTTTTATGAGGCTGTAATTACTTGTATGTAGGACAGAGAGTGTTGGAAGTGCTGGCTGGGCACTCTGCTAAAGATCTCCGATAGGCAGTTGTCCAGTAGACAGCAGGATGTATGGAGCCTGGAGCTCCGGGGAGAGGTCTGAGCGAGAAAGCCAGCGTTGGAAGTCATTAGGGCTCCAGGTGATAAATTATACAACACACGCTTATGGAAAAGTAAATAACAATATTGGGCAAAGTCTCAACTTATCTCTCACTCAAAAGGCAGAGCTAAGGAAAATCTCCACAGAGACGTCCATCTTCCAGTGAACCAGGAAGCACATTGGAAGGACATTAAGAGGTCCTGGGTACTTGGCAGGATTCTGTGGACTGAAGATACCCACAGCCAGTGTTTTCCAAGTGGCATCAGAGCTGCAAGAACCTCTTCCACTGAGGTTCTGTGAAAGGAAGGTTTACAGGTCAAGAGCACTTAGAGAAGAACCCTTACCCACAGAGTCTCTTCCCCAAGACTCACAATGTACGCTAGCCTATCTGTTTCTCAGAGCCATTCGACCCAAACCCTCTGTGGTGGAGTATGTCTAATCATAAATCATATGCTACCCATCAGGGGGACATGGGTCAGTATATTTTGCCCCGGGGTTTCAAGAGCTGTAGATATTGCAAGGTCAGAGACTGGGAGGTGCACTGGGACCTGGCTAGCCTCTTACCGCCCCCTCTCACTAGGGCATCCTGAGAAGTGCAGGCTGGAAGGGGAGCTTAGAGCCTGTGGGGTTATTAGAGATGGTACCTGTAAGTGTGCGTGCTTATATCTACAGAGAACATAGCAAGTGTCAGAATTGCCAAATACGAAGGTCGTGGTACCAATAGAACAGAGAACAGACAAGCTCGCGTGGACTCATGAGGTTACCAGAGGAGAAGAGAACCAACCGGCCGAGATAAAGTCATACTTCTGGAAGCTTATGTAGAATTATAACTGTTAGAGTCCTTGAGAGACCATATGAATGAGAGAAATGCTTTGGGAGACATTGCGGCATAGAGACAACCCAGGTCAAAGCAGGAAAACTGCAGCTAGGGGTCTGAGTCGCCACACATGCATGGGGGGGGGGGGGCATGAACCAGGAACAAGGGGCCAGGGACACTGCAGTGCAGGGAAGTACTCCCGTAGGAAGGCACACGCCAGACAGACACAGGCGGTGGGACGGGGGCAGAACTGGGTTTGGGGGTTACTGAAGATACACGAAGTCCCAGTTTGAGTCCCCTCCAGGAAGGAGGCAAGCCAACGTGCCTTCAGGATTCTGTGGGAAATTGAGGTGGGAGATGCCTCAGCCACACGGGTAGCTTTGATCTTCAGGGGTGTGGCCTTGAAGTACTCATATGAGCACTGTGCAGGAGGCGGAAGTAGGCATGGATTGTGCACGTTGGGAAGTCATGTTCAGGTAGCACACATCTGTAATTACAGCACTCAGGGAACGGAGGTCGGAGGAGTGGGAGTTCACGGTGGGGAAAGGCCAGAGGCGTAATGGCTGGGGTCTTGCTTTGCCTACAATATGCGAAGCAGAGCCAAACATGTTTTGAAAAATATGAGTCTTCTGTGAACAGAGTTGTGAGGTCAGGCCAGTTTGGAGACACTAAATGATCAAGTGTGGCTGTTATTTAATTCGGATGCCACCACTACCCCAAGCCTGTAACATGGGAATGTGCCCAGCTCACGCTGTCAGGAAGCCCTCTCTGCAGGGAATTTTAGGACTTGTTTCCCTTGGAGGAGTACTTCTCAATGTGGTTGGCTGCCCTTGAGCTGGTCTATGAGCTGTCGCTGACCTATGAGATCACAGGAGGAAACTGGGAGTGGCCAGGAAGGACCGTTTATAGATGCTTGACATTGTTGGGATATTCAAGCATGAGTGTGTTGAGTGTGCTCCTTCCAGTTTATTTTTTCCCATATTCTAGAACTGCAGGGATAAGACACACGCAGTTCCTTACTACCTAGACTTTAAGGCGCTTTTCCCTGGAACACATTTTATGAGCATGATGTGTAACAGCACCCCAGAACTAGCTCCGGGCCTGTGTCTTAACACCACCTTGTCTATTTTCCTTCCTTAAGGACCCAAAGCCCTATCGAGCCTGGAAAGTGTTGACTGATGGGGCTGGGAGCTGGCTCAGCATTAAGAGCTCCTAGTGCTCTGGCAGGGGCTGGGAGCTGGCTCTCAACTCACATCCGTTGGCTCACAGTTGCCTCTAACTCCATCTCCAGGAGATCGGATACCGGCTTTGGGCCTCTGCAGGCACCGTACTCGAGCGTGTCTACCCACACAAGACACACACACAAACACATACATTAAACATAAAGTAAGTCTGAAGTGTTGGCTGAGTTGTGTAAAAGTTTACCAGGAATCTGTCTGGGAATCTGTGGGCATGGATATCTTGGCCTGGGGGACATTTACAAAGTCAGATGGGGAGCCAGGCGATGGGGGCGCATGCCTTTAATCCCAGCACTTGGGAGTTCAACGCCAGCCTGGTTTACAAGAGCTAGTTCCAGGACAGGTACCAAAGCTCCACAGAGAAACTCTGTCTCGAAAAACAAAAAATAAAACAAAACAAAACAAAGCCAGATGGACATGGAATACTTGTTAGATAAACCTGGTCTCAGAAGATACAGTGGCTAGTCCTGGGCCACTAAAGATGCAATTCTGTGCAGGTCCCTTATTGTTCTTTTAGCCTAATGTCCCTGTTTACAGTGGGTTTCTTACTTCCCAGGATGATAATCAGGTTTTTTTTTTTTTGTTTTTGTTTTTGTTTTTTCGAGACAGGGTTTCTCTGTGTCTTTGGAGCCTGTCCTGGAACTAGCTCTTGTAGACCAGGCTGGTCTCGAACTCACAGAGATCCGCCTGCCTCTGCCTCCCAAGTGCTGGAATTAAAGGCATGTGCCGCCACCGCCTGACTCCTTCCTCCTTTAGTCAGCGTGCTAGACACTACGCTCACGTCTTTGCTGACCTGAGCTTCTGTTATGAACCCGACAGACCCTGGAGACCTCTTTCACTGAGCAGAGAGCATGGCAAGGCCTCTGAGGACCCTGGGACTACCACTCAGAGCTGAAGCTCCTCTTCTGCTTCCCAAAGTCTATTATGACCTTAATTAAATAATGTCCAAGGTCATCCTTCTCTCCGTCGGGTGGTTAGCTCCTCCAATGACTTCCATTGTACCATCTATGACCTGTATGGATTTTCAATTTCTTGTTCTTATTGTTTGCTTGTTTGTTTGGGACAGGATTTAATTTCTTAGGCTGATCTGGGACTCACCGTGTAACCGAGAGCGAGGATTGGAGATCCTCCTGCTTCTTTCTACCTTTCAAGTTTGGGGTTCCCAGGAATATGTGCCACCACATCCCATTTGTGTAGTTCTGGGGATCGATCCTAGCTTCATGCATGCCACAAAAGCACTTTGCCCACTGACTGCATCCCCAGACTCCTTTGCGGTTTTTGGAGAAGAGCAAATAAGCCCTGAGTCGTGTGGTACACACCTACAATCTGTCCAAGGCCACACTGGGCCACAAAGGGAGATCCTGTCCTCCTCCAATGAACGAATAACAATGGCAACAACAAAATAAGCCAACCACAGCTCTGCAATCAGCTAGTCCGGATTCAATCTCATGCAGATGAAGGTGGTAAGGCAACCGCTTGCTCCACATGAATCATGAATACAATATAATGACAAGCACCACAGGCTCCATTAACAGCTCAACATTGTGTCTTCTAGACTGCTGAGCCATTAAAAATAGAGGCTGGAGGGATGAGTCAGCAGTTGAAGGCACACGCTGCTCTTGTAGGGGACCTGAGTTTGATTCCCAGAGCCCGTGTCAGGTGGCTCACCTCTGTACGTTTACCTCTGGGGCACTTGTAAGCTTTGCTAGGAGGCAACTGCACGCATGCACACCTACACATAGACATCCACATAAATCTAATTAAAAGTAGTCAAACCAAATCTTAAAGTATCTGTGCACACACACATGCGTTACCGTGTGTCCTAGCTCTTTGAAGCTGAGTTTCTACTTTTGCATTACAGTTGTAGACCGACTGTTTGAATGAGTTGGTTGGTGTCCTTAATATATCTGTCCCAGGGTTGGCTAGAACACAGCAGAGTTGTGGATAGGGAGAAGCTCTCTTTCAGGGTGTATGTGCTGTAAATTCAGAGGGGTCTGGGAGGGCCCATTGCAAGAAAAGCACGCCTGTGCCAGAAGCCTCAATTCTGCTGCAGAGCTAAGAAAATCCTTCTGGCAACCTGAGCCAAGTTCTTCCAGGGAAAAAGTGAAATGTAGCTCCGTTACCTGATAATACCAACAACCACTATGACCTTGGGGCATGGCAGGCAGGGCGGAGCCTGTCACATACTGACAGATCTCTGTGTAAGGTATGGACAGCTTGAGCCCAGCCTGGTGGCACACGCCTGGAAAGACAGACAACACTTAGGAAGTTGGGTTGTGGGGATCGTTGAGGGCGGCAGGCCCAGGCTACATTACAAGATCCTGTCTCAACCCTCTCCCCAACCCAGAAAAGAATGAACTCAAGAAGTATGAGTTGAACTGCCATCTCTTGGATCCGCTGGTCAGCCTCTCTGTTCCCTAGTCCCCGTCTCACTGTTCACGTATCTCAACCTCAGCCTTAGTCCTGTAAGCAGAGAGGAGCATGACGTGGGGCATACTAGGAAAAGAAGCCCTTTTAGCATCCACGTGGAAGAGGAGAGATGGGGAAACTGAGGATTTTATGTCCACATACATACACATAATTTAAAAATATTAAAAAAACCCTTCTATCACTGGGAGTTCAGTAATTGGTGTGGTTCTAAGTTACGATGTTTGTTCTACAAGTCAGTTAAGATATACAGCTGACCTGATGGACCACATGCTTACTTTGCATTTTAGCTCATGTAGGCCTATTGTGAATTGTAAAATTTATTGATTCACTTTTTATAATTAGTACTATATATTTTGTAGTAGTCATAAAAGTGATACACACACATGTATATATCTATACAGAACTATAAAAACTACACTGTCCTGGGAAGGGAGATGACTCAGCAGGTAAGAACTTTTGCTCTACAAGCATGGGGACCTGAGTTTGAATCCCCAACACTCACGCAAAAAGATGGATGTAACAGTATATGCCTGTAACCCCAGTGCTGTGGAGGCAAGGGAATTGTTGGGACTTACTAGTTGCCAGTCTAGCTCCAGGTTCAGTGAGAGACTGTCTCAAGGGAGTAAAGAGTGACGGAGCTGGGCATCTGATGTCTTCTTCTGGCCTCTGAGTACAGACAGCATGGCTGTGCACTGTTGTGTACATAAATGTATATGATATATACGCAAAAGTTTTTAATTAAAATAATCTCCTATAGTTAATTTCAAACAAGTGAAGTCTGCCTTGTTTGTATTTCTGGAAAGACGCCTTTATATCCACATTGCAAATGTCTATAATATGCCAATAATGCGCACGAAAAATTAACTTCACCGAAGTCTCCTGAAGCACAAGAAGAAAGCGCAATGACTGCTCTACCTCAGTGTCCAAGCATCTTGATACTCGGACCTCAACACTCTTCATCTTTCTCTCCTATTGCCCACCCACTCACTGCCCACCACGTCCACCACACCCACCATGTCTACCACGCCCACCATACCCACCATGCCCGCGGCACTGCTTGGAGGCTGTGCCTAGATGCACTAAGCACATTCGCGCGTCTACACCTTTGTCTACACTGTTTCCTCCAGCCAGGATGCTTGTTTCCCTTCTTTCCATAGAAAGAATTCCTTATACAGCTAAGACCAAATTCCAGCATTTCCCTTTCTTCTACGCCTTCTCTGTCCCAGGGAAAACTGTTGATTCCTGTGATAACAGAGAACCTCACATCAATCTCTCCCACTAGAGTGGACACAATCTGTTATATAGAGAAGAAGAAGAACGAGGAGGAGAAGGAGGAGGAGGAGGAGGAGAGGGAGGAAAAGAAGAAAAAAGAAAGAAAGAAATAAAGAAAGAAAGAGAAAAATAAAAAGGCTAGACCACAGATTTTAACTTTTTTGTCATTCTTGTTATATAAATGAGCTTGATGTGGGCCTGTATAAAGTAGAGACACTTGAGACAAAATTTAGTATCAAATTTCTAAAATCCTTTTCCTGTGCAGTTCCCCTTGAACCAGGTCACCACTACTGAGGAGCTATTTCTAAAGTGGCACTAGAAGAATCAGCGGAGGGCTGGAGAGTCAGCTCAGTGCTCAAGAGCACACGTTGCTCTTGCAGAGGACCTGTATTTGAATCCCAGCACCCCAGTGGTGACAAAACTGTAACTCCAGTCCCCTCTGATTCACTACCCTCTTCTGGCCTCTGCAGGCACCAAGTGTACACACACACACACACACACACACACACACACACACACACGCATGCACGCGCACACATGTGCGCAGGGAAAACACTCTTACACATAAGCTAATAAAATAAATAAATCCAAAAAGAAATAAGGGAAAAGAAATCAGTAAAAGTCAGCTGAGTCCTTGTGAAGAAGGAAGTTGAGATGCCCTGAATCAGAAGGCAGTTCAAGGGCAGGCAGGGAGCAAGTGGGCAGGATGGAGCTGGAGAGGCAGAAGGTGCAGAGGAATTAAGCTGGTCTGTGACCCCCAAAGGAGTTGAGAGTAAAGTAACCACACCTGTCACAGACAGTGTGTGCAAGTTGAGGCTCCAGGCCCCAGAAGGCTAAGATACACTATGATCGGCTTTGCTAAGTCTGGAGTGTAACGATTAATATATGCCTAGTTAAGGGTACAGAAGAAAACAATTGGATTTTTTTCCCTCCTAAACAGGGTCTTTTGTAGCTTAGTTTGACCTCAAGCTTGCTATGTATCTGAAAATGAGCCAGAACTTCTGATCCTTCTGCCTGTACCTCCCAAGTGTTGGAATTACGATGTCCAGTTTGTGCACTGCTGGGGGAAAAACCCAGCACTCTACCAACAGAGCCATATCTTTAGACCAAGAATTGGAATCGTGCTTGTGGACAGCACTTATGTGGTTCAGCGGGGTTTAGAAGAAGCCAAGTGATGCAGTGGGTACGCTTGACAGAAGAGCTGAGAGTTACTCCTATCAAAAAACAGGCTTGGAAACAAACCTGCTACAGGATCAAACAAACGTTGTGTGTGTGTGTGTGTGTGTGTGTGTGTGTGTGTGCATGCGTGCATGCACACGCATACATGCGCACAATGCACACAAACACATGAGAGGAATATAATGATAATTGATAATTGGGTGTCAGACTTCTGACTGTAGCCTGAAGGATATATAAATAGGGCACGAGGAACAGCAAAAAATTCATGGGAATATTTCACAAATGTGTGGGTGCAGATATTGATATAAATTTATGATTTTACACACACACACACACACACACACACACACACAGCCATTAAGATGGCTCAAAGGGTAAATGAGCATGTCATCAAATCTGAAAACCTTAGTTTCATCTCCAGGACCCACATGGTGGAAGGAGAGAACTGGTTACTATATGTTGTCCTCTGAACTTTACCCAAGTCATATCATGTACGTATGTTCATGAGTACAAGCATATACACATAAAATAAATGAAGGTAACACAAATATAAATGTTAATGATATTCATGAATGCGTCTATGCATAGCTATGTGTATATATTCTTCCCAGCTTTACCTGAGAGAGTGGAGAAACAAAGCCATGCTAAAAGCTCATGCATACATAGTACTCAGCTCTTCTCAGTCTCTAACGCCTTATCAGCCAGCATAAGCCACGGTTCATCAGAGAAGGGGCGAATCCAAAGCTTGGAGAAAGGAGGGTACTAGATGATCTTGGAATATCTTTTTTTATGTTGGAAAGTTTTCAAAAAATAATGAGAACATGTCACAGAACATAGAAAGGGCTCACATCATCCAAGGATGTTAAAGGGACTCCCATCGGTCACATCTGGGACAGCTTGAGCTCCAAAATAATTAAAAGCAAGTAACACATTGCAAATTGTTGATTAAAAAAAGGAACGTGTGAGTCCACACCAACAGTAAACGGGTAACGGGTAAGAGAGAGAGAGAGAGAGAGAGAGAGAGAGAGAGAGAGAGAGAGAGAGAAGGCTGAGGACTGCCTGCCCAACGTGCAGAAATGCTGAGGATGGAAAGTTAGACCAGACAAAGCTCAGCAGGTGCTAAATAGATAGAGAATTCTTTTTTAAAAAAAAAAATTTTTTTTTTTGGGTTCCTGTCCTGGAACTAGCTGGAACTAGACCAGGCTGGTCTCGAACTCACAGAGACCCACCTGCCTCTGCCTCCCGAGTGCTGGGATTAAAGGCGTGCACCACCACCGCCTGGCACTAGATAGAGAATTCTGAGAAGTAGACTAATGCACTGGCTTAAAATATCACCCACGGATTTTTTTTTAAAATTGGAAGGAAGGGAAAAAGGTCCAGTGATTACACAGTAAAGGAATTAGACAAGACTTTGGGTAAAGAAAACACACTCACCAGGTAAGTGGGGAACAGACAGTTGGGGGCCTCCAGATGTGATCCTCAGAGAAGGCACACTGCCACCCATGCCGCTTTCTGGGTAAGAGAGCAGAAGCTCAATGGAACACGAGGAAACAGAAGCACACACAGGAGAACGAGCGAATTCTAAGGGGGCTGATCATAAAGGTAACTTGACCGGAGTTCAATTTCTGGGACCCACATGTTGGAAAGAGAGACCCAACTTCTACAAATTGTCCTCTGGCCTCCACGTAGGTGCTCTGGCATGCTCGCACCCCAACACATACACACATGCATACACACCTACAAACAGACAAACGAATGAATGAATGAATGAATGCAAACAAAACATAAAAATTTAAAGGAGAATTGCATTCCTCAAACGTGCAAGCTTGGTAAAAGATAGAGGAGGATGGAAGAGGAGCATTTGACGGTAAAGGAAGCAAAAGTGCTGTGGCAGCAGAATCCGAGATGGAGTTCTGTGCTGGAGAACCATGCTCTGAGGACACCACAGAGTCACCCGACAAAGTTGAGCAGTGACCGAACTTGAGAATATTCCCCCGTCCTTAGAAAAACACTTAGGTATTTTGAGGTAAGGGGCCATGATGGATGTAGCCTGCCTTCAAGGAAAATAAACCTACATGGGAAGAGAGCAAACATGAAGCAATTTGGACACTAACCACTGGTCAGTGTTCACTGGTGAGGAGGGAACCCTGATAGCCTTTGTTCTATATATCTTTGCAGATTTTCATAATCTGGAATGAGTTTCAAATGAAGATTTAAACAGCTTCTGTTCTCCTGAATGGTATTTAATGACACCGAGGCATGTTTGATTGTGAATACTCTATCAAGTTAATTTTGTAATAAAATAAAAACTTAAGGTATAGTTTATATACGACTTTTCTTTTTATTGTATTGTATTTGTGTGTGTGTGTGTGTGTGTGTGTGTGTGTGTGTGAGAGAGAGAGAGAGAGAGAGAGAGAGAGAGAGAGAGAGAGAGAGAGAGAGAGAGCAGGTAGAGGTCAGAGGAAAACTAGGGAAGTTGGTTTTCTCCTCCCACCATGAGGGTCCAGGAGATTGAACTCAGGTTATCCGACCTGTGGCAAGTGCCCATTTACACACGTGCCATTAAAAAGCTAGAAGGAAAGCATGTGGGCTCCAGAGGTCAGGGAGGACTGGAGCAAAACAGCGTCTTGTGGACGTGGCAGGACCCCTGCACTCACGCGCTCATGGCAGCTATGGCTGCCAAGAGAAAACCTGCACAAGTCCAACCAGCCAACACTCCAGCATGGCCTGGGAAGGGGTTCCCAAGCCCTCACCCCTAACTGAGGAGCTATGAACTGTTGACAGCTTCTGGGGGAGGGAGAGTTAGTTCCCTTTAAGTGTGGGGTCCTTGGTTGGGTTGCTGTTTCTAGTAGATGGCCTCACACCCATGAGATTGTGGGCAGCATAAATTGGACTCTGGGTTTTTTTTTAAATAGAGGCCATGAAGTTTGGAGGGTAAGGAGAGTAAGGAAAATCTGGGAGGAGTTAGGAGAAGTGGGTGTGGGTGATATGATTGAAATCCAGTGTAGGAAATTCTCAAAGAATTAACAACAGTGTTACAGCGTTTTCAAGCAAGAAAGAACGAATCCAATATATAGAAAGGTATTCTCTCTTGGTTTTAGAATAATGAACAATTTTGCCCTGTTTCTTTGTTATAATCTTATATTTTCTAAAGTTTCAATATGGGCATCAAATGCTTAGAGGGAAAAACATCTTGAAAATCAAATCTTTGGTAAAACTTCGTCTATAATACTGCAGGCTGCTGTGTCATTCAAAAATGCAAAAGCCCTAAATACAGTGAAATCTTCAAGGATAGGGAGGGTTGTTGGCGAGGACATGTGAATTATGACACTTCTAAAATATAAAACCATAAAACTTTATTTCCCTGAGCAGTTTATAGACCAATGTAAATGTCTAAAAATAGGAGATTGATTAAATAAATTATAGCACAACTATAAAATAGAAGATTCATAAATGTTTTCTGGCATTAAGCTCTCTGAGAGCAAAGGCAGAATGTGTGCGGTGTGGTCTTGCTGATTGTGAGCATCCTTATCTTTACATAGCTATTGAAGGAAGGAAGGAAGGAAGGAAGGCTACTCATATTAGTTTGGGAAGGGGAAATGGTGGAATTACTAGGGATTATTATGTCCTCTGTTATTCTTTCATGTGTGTGTTCTCAAATATTCCACTGTAAATGTAATAACACGAGACATTTTTATTTATATATTTTATATTTAATTCTGTGTATACCTCTGTGCCTCTGTGTGTGTGTGTATGCGGATGCAGTGCCTGTGGAGGCCAGAAGAGGGCATTAGATTCCCCAGAGCTAGAGTTACAGGTGATTGTGAGCCAGTTGACATGGGTACTGCAGGTATGCTCTCTTAGCCTGTGAGCTGTCTCTCTAGCCCCTGGGTAGCTTTTCAAAGATAACCTGGAATAGAGGAAACCCTGTTGAAGTTGGGACCACTTTCCACCTCCCTAGAGCATGGTCACCTTGTACACCACTTCACTACTTTGTCACTCAGCCTGCTGCACTGGGACACTGCCTGATGTGGAAATAAACATTTCTAGAAATGTTGAAAGAATTAAAAGTCAGTCAAAAGAATTAAAACAAGACGCATTCTCCACTTCCCCTAGAAACTTCTAGATGGAGGGATGAAGAAGCCTTTAATTATTTACAAAGACCACCCACCCTACACACACACACACACACACGCACACATGCACGTGAACACACACACACACACACACACACATTCTCCTTGGAGAGCACAGAAGAATCAGGTCAGAAGTCCCCTGCCTCACCCCGCATCCCTGTACAGACAACCAACCGTTTTGGTGTGTGAATATCCTTCCAGCTCTTCCTGATGGGATACATACCGAAATTTAAGGTGTTATATTATTAGCGTTAGTACGGAGTACTTGAAAACACACAAAAGTATAGAAACAACCTTAATAACAGGAGAACGGGTTAGGAAGAAAACTTTAAATGCCTACTTATGTTTAACTTTTTAAAAATTATCATTATAAGACATATATGAAAATGCATATTTATTAATTGGAAACAATCCTTTCATTTTGGGGCTCATGGGACAATCATGCAAATAACTCAGGTACTGGGTAGTTTTGTGAACTAGACATAAGCCAGGGTGATCTGGGAGGAAGAATCTCTGGAGAAAATTCCTCTATCAGACCGGCCCAGAGACGAGTCCAAGGGAAATTCTCTTGACTAATAGTGGGAGGGCTCAGCCCATCATGAACACCCCTGGCCAGGTGGTCCTGGTTGTGTAAGAAAGCAGGCTGAGCAATCTATGAATTAGTGACAGTAAGCAGTGAGCCGCATTCCCTCCTAAGTTTCTGTTTTCTTCTCTGCCTCTAATTCCTCCCTTGACTTTCCTTCATGATGCACTGGAAGCTGTAATACAAACTCTTTTCTCTCCCAAGTTTGTTTTGTATTTTAATAAGGGTGGGCTGCCCTGGAACTCACAAGAGATCTGACTGCTTCTGCCTTCCGGGTGCTGGGATTAAAGGCATGCACCACCATGCCTATCCCAGTTTGGCTCTGGATAGTATTTTATCACAGCAGTAGAAAGCAAACTAAGACAACTTGATTAAAGAAAAGCAGAATTCTCTTTCTGATGAAATAATGCTTGTATTTAGAGTGCTGTTCCCACCACAGGGTGACTCACAACTCAACCAAGACTTGCCAGCACTTGCCCACCGCACACACATATGTAGTCTTAGCTGACAGATTGGTGCCCCATTCTTAGGGTTACTTTTGTTCCTCTAACAACAAGGGTGGGTGTATCTGATCCCTTGCATTGGTTCTCTATGAGCCCTATGTCGTCGGAGGCAGCGATTGGCTGGGGTGGGAAGGACACCATCACAGTTGTTCTGTGGGTAAAGGTACCCAAATGCCCATCTTCCCAAGGCAGGGTCACAGGAGTTACTCCCCACCAGACCCGCACCCAGAATGCCTGTTCCATCTTACTTTAGATGGAGCTCTCAGACTTTACTCCCCACCCCCATGTTTGCAGCCCATGTCTCTTAGCTACTACTCAGCTGTTCATCTGCCCCCTCCATTCCAGGATGCTTTCAAAATCACGAACCTGATTGTTTCATTTCACAACTGGCCAGAGCTGCCTTTAGCCCTGGCTCCCAGAGGCCCCTGACCTTGCACAGACACACAAGGTCTCTATCTTTTAAGGTTCCTCTTTTGTGTGTCTGTATTTTGTCCAGTGCCTGGTGCATGAGTGTCTCTAGCCAGTCAGTGTTTGGGCAAATAAAGGAATAGGAACATGCTGAAGGCTTTTCTATAGTCCTTCTCAGACTGTACACATATAGGAACCTCCTGGGGACCCTGTGAAAATGCAGACTTAGATGCAGGAGGTCAGGGCTAACCGCAGAGTTCCTAGGTGATGCTGCTGGTCTCTCAGACTCACCCAGAGAAGAAAGGAGGCACAGAATCAGGATAGCTTTCAAGTTGGAAAAGCGTGCATTTGATTATCTCTTCCTACAGGGATCTTGAAATCATGAGTGTACTTTAGAATTGAAAGAGATGAAAAGAAGTTAGAGATTTTATATACGGTCCCTGCGCTCACCGAACAAGGCTGTGGGCTATTCCAGAAGTAAGAGAATAAATAAAAGTCACTTGGTATTAAATTCCCAGGACCAACTTTTTAAAAATCAGGGTCTTACATAGCTCTACTGGCCTTGAACTTCTTCCTGGTTCTCTTGCCTCAGCCTTAGGCTGCAGGGGATACAGACATGCATTGCTACATCACGCCACACCTGGGAATCTTTCCTTTCCTCTACTTTTCTACCAATCTGATATTCTCCCCTGGAGGAGTGTGAGATGTATGGTACTTTGTTCTCCATTACTGAAGTCAGAGACTGGAAGATGCTTTTGTTGCTGATGGGAAGGTGTTGCTGAGCTGAGGGAAGAAGCTGCCAGATCTAATAATTCAGATCCAAGAAATCTGTAGAGAACAAAAGGTATGGGCAACTCAAGCCTGTAGTTTCAGCACTGGGGA